GGTGGCTGGATAACTTCATCTCGCAGCGTATCAATTATACGACTTTGGTACAAGTTCAAATAAACGATGTTCAAAGTATATTTTGTTCTCCGAAAAATTTTGAAAAGCATTATATTTTTAAAATTTTAGGAAATATTTTAAAACGTTATTAAATTATGACAGAGAAATATATTTAATTTTCCTCGTATAAAAAGCTGCACGTTTTATATTTAATTCTTAAAATTTTCAAGATAAATATATCTCAATATAATATTATGATAACCGACATAAATACCACAATGAGAAAGTATGTTATTTCGAGAAAATTTGTATGAAAAAGACAAGCTGAATATTTATGAAATATTTATATAATAATCTTAAAATATTATCTAAAGTGAAATCTATGGTACTATTTTAACGAGTTGACGTTCTATGTAACTTCCATTGCGTCTCGCAATATTTTACGAACTATTCATCGATAGGCAAACTTAATATATGCGATGCAACTTCGGCAGCTTCGTTCGTTGAACTTGAAATTATATGCGTAAGGAGGCGTACCCTTTATTGCGATGAAAATTATTATTATTATTACCTTCGTAAATGCGTGCGATTATTTCCTCGTAAATTCGTCGCAAGGACGGCAATTTGGCCGCGTCTGATATAATTTACGATCGCGGAAAAAAATGCGTAACGGGGAAACGTCGCGCCGGCGCGCCGGCGGAGAAATGCGATCGTGCGTTACGATAATAAATATTCCGCGGGCTCTTGAGGTCGCTCGACCGGCCCGGAGACCGAGATTACGCCAGGATGACAGGGCCGATGCCGATGATATCGCGGCTTTATGCAAAAATTGCTAATTACTGAGCCCTGCGATGAAAGCGTGCGACAACGCGTCACGCTCGGGCGAGGCCGCTCGCCGCCGCCGTCGCATCTCCTAACTTTGTACGTACGAAGCAGCTAATTACTGATCTACGATCGGCCTGCGAACCCGCGGTGCGACGTCGTTATTCCGCGGGAGATTGTACGCGGCAGATAGCATTATGTATCGAAACAATTTCGCCTGTTGCTGTATCTCGCGCCCGTATACGCGCGCGACTGCATCGAGCTGTGTTCTTATCGCGCTCGACGTCGTTGTAGTTCTCATTGTCATCGCCGTCACTGTCGTGGTAATTCGCGGCGCACGCGCCCGGAAATATTAACTCGGCCGTTTTACTTTGTCATCTCCGGTTCGTCCCGACTGTCAACGGGGCTGCATTATGAATGCGAGCCAATTTAAAATTCATTACAAGGTGCGGGGGTTTCCTCCTCCGTCGCCGGCACCCCCTCGCCTGTCACTTCTACCGGCTTTCACGCCGCACCTCCGCGCGGTGGGGATAATTATTCGTCACTGTAACGTTTCGAGAGCGCGCCCGAGCGTGCTGGAGCGACGGGGAGAAAGGATGCAAAAGAGAGAGAGAGAGAGAGAGACGCCGAAGGGGAAACGAGAAGGAAGAAGAAGAACCGAGAAGCATTTATTATGGAGAAAGAGAGAAGACGGGAGATGGTGTACAAGCGGCAGCCAATCTCCCCCGTCGTCCTGCTTGTTTATTTAAATAATGCACAGGGGGGTTCAAGCCTTGGAAATGGATGAACTACAAAGCCTCTGAAATCCGCTACGAGAAAAGTGGCACGCTCGCACGAGCCGGCTCTTGTGACAACGGAGGAAATCCACCTGCCACGCGCCCGCGATACTGGCCTGCCACTTTTCGGGGATATTCTCCGCGCTTCCGCTTTTTCGACTTTCACGAAACAGGGTTTAGAGCATTGTCCCTGCACGTACCGGGAAGTTTAACTTTAGGTTTGGTTTTCTCGAACCACATTTGCTGCATTTAAGATAGGGGAAATGTATATTCGGCTTTTCTACTAAAATTTCAAAAAATTATAGATAAGATGCAAGACACGCAAACAGAAAGAGAGCATCTCCAGATATCTGACAGAATGAACAAGTCGAGGAAGTATTTTTCTTATCAGAAAATGTAAAAATACGACAATCATTTTTTATCTCGCAATAAAAAAAACTAAAAGAAATTAGCTACATTAATTAAAAATACATTTACATAATTAATATTCTTCTGAATTATAAATTCTTTGTATTTTATTGTTATTTATTTAATTATATCTAGATTTTATTTAAAATGTCGTTTTGGTTTACATCTCTCTGTCTTAGCCGATGAGCAAACTTTTCCAACGCCGAAAATAAAAAAAAAAAGGGGGAATGAGGTTGAGAAAATTCCAGACTGCAAAGTGGGGGAATGAATCAATCGCGCCTCTTGTCTCGAGATAGCTTCTTCTTTATAAATAAGCGGAGCGAGTTCGGAGGCTGTAGTTCAGATATTCACCGGTTGATTACCCGCCCGGCGGGGCCGGGGCTCGGCTCCGGTTGGGGAAATCCCCCTGGGAGGACGCTAACTCGACAACTGACAAATTAGCCCGGCGCACCGACGACACTTGCAAAATAGGTCGACAAGAAGACGCCCGGTTTGAATTCGACGCCTGCCAGATGAGATTCGCAACCCAGTCGTCGAACTCAATTTTACTCACCGACAGGGTGAACGATGCGCCGGTGGACGCCGGTTATCGGTCACACGAGATTAATCCTGAGCCCCGAACGGAGTAATTAATCGACACTACGGCCAATGTCGTTGATAGGCAGCGATCAAGATTGATTGAGTAATCGGAACAATTTATGGCATGTACCATCTTTTCATATTATTTTATACGTGTTTTTAGATATCACATAATGCATGATCACATGATGTGACGTCTTAGATATTTCTTATTTTCAGGAGCGCCTACTTAAAATATTGAAACCCGATCATACCACTGGAAAATCGACGGAAATCAAAATTGACGTTTCTCTAGGGACGGAGACGCGTTTGCGATTCTATGGAGTCGCTCTCCTTCTCGGCACGAGAACCCGAGGTTTTTCAAGTCCGGGAAATTCCTCGTTGGTGGCTAAGTGAATTGGAAATAAAAAAAAGAGCGCCAAGCCGGATAAATAACGTCCGATGACGACGTTCGCGCGAAGCGACGTCGCGCCGGCAATACTTTTCACATCGCCTCGGTGAGAGGCAGGGGGATTGTTATTCGTGCGGCGTAGTGCCTCGGTGTCGCTTTCACTAGAGTCGGTTACTGATAAACGAGCGGTTTCAACCCCACGCGTCGCCCCCTGAATGTAAACTCACCCTGCCTGCCCGGCGCGCTTTAAGCTCTTAGCGCGGGTAAACGCTCGGTGTAAATCGTTTCCGAACGTAAACGATTGTCGACGACAGACCTGAAATTAATCGTTGTGATTCCAGTTGCCGAACGAAATGTGAAAATAAATTTACAAGCGTTATGATGTCTCCAGCTAAATCAAATATGCAGTTAAAAATACGCGTTAAAACAAAATTTAATACTACTTAATTATTCTTGCTTCATTATTGTGTTATATATCTATTAAGAATTTTAAAAAATATAGTAACATATTGATAATAAAAAGCTGAGCTAAATCTTGTATCGTTATATCGTTCTATTTTCTTATCCTTACAAAAATAATATTTTGCACTGCAATAGAAATTAATTAATTAATATTTCTAAGCGCTGCGCGTGGTTCTAAAATAATTCAATAATAAAAGAAGTTATTTCAAGGCGCAAATAAATCTTCTACAATGATATATAGAAAATACGTACTATCCTATCTTATATCATCGTTTAGGCCATTCTCCGGCAATCCGCAATAACATTCGTCCCCGGCAGAGCCAGGATTTACGAGTAACGGCGGGAAAGATGTCGTGCGCGACGAATCGTACGACAAAACCCAACGGCGTGCCCCGCGTACGTGAGTGGCCAAAGGTGGAACGTCACGTTTTCACACGAGATCTCCGGGGAACGATGCCTCAAACGACCACGTGGGACTCGAAACGCACCTGCACCGAATTTCTACGCCCGGAAAATTGCTGTCTCGTCGTCGATATCTCGCGCCTGGACGAAATCTTTCCAGCCCCGTGTATATATACGCGTGTATATATACGCGTGCCGGCAAAACGATAAGTTTGTCATAGCCAATTTATACAATTGACACGGCGGGATGCGACACCCGCTATTTGGCACTGGGGACTCACGAATTTATGGCTAATGTGCTGCTATATCTTAGTTTCTTTCTTTATTGTAGCGCTTCAATTTCGTTCACTCTTAGAAAAATAGGATATCGTTAATTTTCTAAATGATGATTCGAGTACATGAAAACCGAGAGATTAAAATTTTGTATTATTTATAGAATTACAGAAAAATGTTAACTGAAGCTGATTGATTAAATTATGCTGAAAATAAACGATCAAAATAACTCTTCTTATTTGTCACTTGTTAATATTACACAATTTTACAATACTTAATAACTTTTTGCTTTTTGAAAATAGACAAATAAAATGAATGAGTACAAAATTGATTAAAAAGAAGACAAAAGAAGGACAGAAAATCAATTTTTTAATTATCAATAAGTTGATTGACTGTTAGTCAAAATCACATTAAAATCGGGGTGTATCCGTTGCACGAAGGACAGCACATCAAACCAAACGTTCACCCTTCATTCTTACCGCCCTTACTTTGCTTGCATTGTGGCGGACGATTGGTATTCAGCTCGGTAAGTCCCTTGGATTCATGTAACAGCATCGGGGACATGTGTCAGCCAGGACAATTGGTAGTAAGGGTCGGAAATGGCTGTTTAAAATTGCATCGAAGGCCTACCGTTAAGGGCACGTGCGCTTTTTAATGTCCCGACGAATGCTTACGATAATGTCCTTTAAGCTTTTATTAACGGTTATCAAGGTACGTGGCCCGAATGGCCATGGCCATTCTCACGCGACAGCGCGAGCGAACCGCGATCCTTTACCCACAATATCCTGTCCGAAAGAGTTCTTATCCTATTTTCTCCGATTAAAACTGCTTGCACGCAAAAAGTTGAAAGTATCGATCTCTGCATTTTTTTTCTCGTTACAGTTAAGATGATAAGGTGTGTCGTGTTTGAGTAATATTAATGACGTACTATGAATAATACATGAAAAGACTAAATGTAAAAAAAACATTCTAAAAGTAGAATTGTTAACATTTAAATTATAAGCAGTAAGAAATTTCTTTTGTTATATCATCTAATCTTACTTTACTTACTTTGTGATGTGCATATCAGACGTATTTTAGAAAGTTTGAAATAAAGCATAGAAATATTTTATAAATTTAATAAAATTGAGAATAAATTATAATATAGATAATGTTTCCTTCATGGACTGCGTGACATCGAAAAATATATTGCAATCTTCCCACTCATCTCTATGTGATCCATTATAACATTATTGGTGCCAGAGGGTCTCGAACCTCATGGGAAGAAAAGTTTTGCCAATGATTAACCGAAGTCTAGTTTGTGACTTTGATGACTCGACAGTATTCGCCTCCATAGATTTGTTAAGAATAATTAAAACCCGTCACCCAACATTACACATTTGCTTTACAAATTGTATCATTACCCTGAACAATTTTTTCATACATTGATATTTATCAATAAATTATTTAAAAATGTAAATTTTGTTTAGAGATAAATCAATTACTTATATAATTTTTAACTTATTTAGGTATAAATTCAATTTGTTTACTTTCCCTACTAGCTTCATGAAAACTCGCCGCTGACGACAGTAAACCAAAGCAGCATTGCATTCGCTCGCTTTTTTTTTTTTATTCAATTATGATAAACAAAATCGCGCGCGAGTAATCGAACGAGGAGTCAGGCAAGCGAGCTTGGTAAAAGACAGTCTGGCGAGTTTGCTAATAAGATCCTTCAACAACGGCAGATCAAGGAGATTCGGAAAAGTCTACCGTCAAAATTCGACTAGTATAATCCACCGAAATGTGTGCGTTTCCTTCAAGTTCGAGGGGCGCGATTCTATGGCGACAACGTGACCTGGCCGACGTCGTGCGGGGGTTGTTTAGCCCCAAGTCCCGGAGGAATTTATCTGCCGGTCAGTCACCCTAAATGTCAGACACGACCGTACAATCACGTGTCGGCCGTTATAAATACGCGACATATCATACACTAAGATGCCATACGTTTCGGATGACAATGACATTTTTAACGCAACGTCCGTATTTACGCAGCATCCGTCCTGCATACCGATGGAAAGACCGTTGGCGGGCGAGAAGGATTCCTCACCTGGCTGAAGGACATCTTTAATAAGGCCGCAGGTGAGTTGCCGTCACTTTTGGGACGGAGGTTATTATTTTTTGCCATTCATCATTGCGTAATGCATGCATTATATAAGCCGCAAAACTTATACGATTGATGATGTTACATGTGTTCTCATAGATTAATTTGCTTATTTAAGACGAAGATTAATTCATCACAAACAATGTAGATAATGAGAAATTTTATCATGATAACCTTCATATAATTTAATTGTTGCAATTTGTCACTTATGTAATGCATTGCACAAAAAAAAATAACTACTACTGGAAAAATATTCACGACATATCTGCGTCATGAGAAATTGCATACATCTTAAACTTCTGGTCGTCACGCTATATCACATGACGTAAATCATCGGTAAAATAACATGTTGCAAAAGATAGAAGCTACAAAGCTGACGTCGCGGTCATCAATCGGGCAGCAACAGCAACAACGCTTGAGCAACCAAAAATAGCGGTTCCCAAACGGCCGGCGGACTCTTCGGGCAAGGTCGGCGTCGTTAATCAAAAACTGGCTAACTTCTGCGCGGCGCAATCGACGACGAAGTTCGACGATGGGAACTTTCGCGTCGGGAAGTGTAACACGGAAGACGGCGAATACGCGAACGCGAGTCAGCAGTTTGCGATTTACGCCTCGTCGCAGTCGAGTCGCATCGAAGTTGGAAAAGTTTTTGAACGCGTAACGGATTCCGTTTCTTCGTGGCTCGATCCTAGCAAGATACATCGATCGGCGAGGAACGACGACGCGACTGAGTTTGACGATCTCAATGTGGCCGCATATTATCGCAATTACACAAACCAGAGACACTGTTATCGCCTGCCACCACGGACGAAGCAATCGCCTCTGAGATCGTATGATTCTAATAGAAACATCGGCGTGCCGACGCGCACGATCGCAGATTTCGCTCCTAGAAACTCGAAGCCGCCTATCAGAGAGCCCAACGCGATCGAAAAACGTGAAAAGGGTGAGAAGGAGAAGGACAAAAAGGAGAAGAAGAAGCCGGTAATACGTACGGACGGATCCGTTGATAATAGCGAGAACCGAGTGGCGATGGAAGCGGACGATAACCCGAAGGGCGACCCCGACGCGGTGTTTCGTTACGAGCGGGGCGTGAAATTTGCCGAGGAACCGGCCGCCAAGGCGAGCGATAACGATAACTTGGCCGAAAAGGGACGGCGATACGTCACGAAGCGGCTTTGGGGAGTGAGCCTAAAACAGCCGAAGCCGGATGTCGAAGATGCCGCTTCGCTGACATCCGAGAACCCCGGAAGAGGCGCGAGTGAACGTCAAAACGCCTCTCCAACCGTCAGAATCGACGAGGCAAAGAGTAACGTTTCCTCGGCGCTAAACTCCTCGGCGAAAGAGGCAAAAACAACCGCGGAATATCTCTCGACTCCATCGAGCAACTTAGTTTCGCCAAATGACGATCTTATTGCAGCGGAACGAGAAAGAATTGACGCAAGCCCGTCTTTGAATTTTGAAGCCCTTCGAAAAATCATGAGCACATCACCGAACACGCTAGAGGAAGTAATCACTGTCGACGATGAGTACAACGTTCCAGAAGGAGTGTCTCCAGACGCCGAAATCGCCGCCTGGAAGAATCTCTTTATGAAATGGAAATCAATCGCGGTCTCTCAGAAACAAGATTTTCTGCCGGACGATTATATAGGAAACCTGAAGAAGGTGTCTATCCGACCGGAAGCGCCGCAGCCAAAATTAGACGTGCGAGTCGTGAAGTCCATCGAGGACAGCATGAAGGACAAAGAGATCGATTCCATAAAATCTATGGAGATCGAGCGCTCCGGATTCATGGACGTACAAAGATCAGACAGTCATTCGTCCAACAGGAAAATGCACACTTTGAACATGCAGATTCGCTATGCACATCGCAACGCAAATTTTATCACTCGACGAAATATTGAATTACTTCCAGTCAGTTCTACTTATGTTGAGAAAACTATTCAGATGTGTCCAGGATCAACGTCAGCGTTCTCCACAAATTCCGAAAATCAGACATCAAATCAGCAGAGTGAAAAACAAAGAGACTCAAAAAGCCATGAAAAAAAATCTGACATTACTACAAATTCATTAAACGCTACAGGACCTCTTTTATCCAAGGAATGTCAAACATTTTCAAAAATTAATCAGAAACAATCATATGTCGATAGCAATTTGGCCAAGATACGAGCCATTGCTGAGGATAAAAAAACAAAAATTTCTTTAAACCAATCGCAAGTCACTGAAAAGTCGAAAGATCACGAAAAGACTGCTTGTCTATCAAATGCTGTTTCTGCGCCTCTTCAATCTGTACAAAAAGACGGATCTCACTTTAATAACAAGAATATTCAGAGCAAAACAAAGAATTCCGAAGATTCTTATGTATATACAAACTTGCAAAACGAAAGCGCTACATATGTCGCTTTCGATGCTCCATCAACCGACAATGATCGAATAGAATCGTACGCAGCCAAAGAAGATTCAAAATCCAACTCGAAAAACGAGAAAAATACCACCTTTGACTCGGATGTGGAGGACGTGGACGATTTGAGCAAGGATTATATCATCGATGGTGATTACGTACGACTGCCGGGCGATCCCTATCCTTACAGTAAAGAACACCTGGATAAATGGCGCGTGCCACATTCCAGAAGCCTCGTTTACAAGTCGATCAAGCGAGAGCCGTCTCGCTCTGATTCTTCCTTCGTCGCTCGGTCATCGCTGAGAAATGTCAACGACTCGTATGCAAACGCCGCCGCGGTGCCGCGCGATTCCCACGCTGGAACGGTAATGGAGACTTCAGGAAGCGGCGACAGCGCAAAAAACGCGGGACGAGCGAGCGGATTCCACATGTCCTCCCGGGACCAGCGGGTGGCACCTGATTACCTGCGTGTCGACGATGCCGCGGACACGCTGGGGCTGCGGCAATGGACGCAGGCCTTCTCGCGGCTCGGCGCGGCCGACGAGAGGACGAGCCAGACGGCGCGGGACGGCGACAACGTGTCGCTGCACGCGTATCATCAGTGAACTCGCTGCGAATTCGCGACGTAACTTCCGGCGAGTGTACACCCCGCGGCACCTTTGCATAATTCAGTTCTCTCGGTTAATTAGGACGGGCTCGTTGCCCGCGTCGTAACGAGCGAGGGTTCCGCAAACTTTAATCCCAGATTGCGTATCGTTTCCGTCCGCCTGCTGACGTTTAAGTGCACCGAGTATGAATACAATGAATGCAAATGTTACTGACATTTTTTTTGCAGTATTTTATGCTGTAGTCTTTCTTTCTTTATCCTTTTCTTATTTTTTTTTTGTGATAAAAATTTAAAAAATGTAATATAAAATTTATTGTTAACACGTAAGTGAGAAACAATGTGCAAATAATAGTACATACATGTTATTATTTTTCATATCTAATGTATGTATTTTCAATTAGAAATAAAAGAATAGAATAAAGAATATAATATGCAACAAAACGCATTTGATTCAGTTTGTTTTTTACAAAAATAATATGTGTAAACAGCTATAAAAAATTTAGTTACATTATAGCGTAAAAATAAGTTTTTGAAAGTAATTCATAAATATATATGCGACAATAACGTAACTAATTTTCAATAAAACTTTAAGAAAAATTATAAAACTTAGAATTTTCGAGTAATAATTATGTCCTTACGTAATGTATTCAGCACTGTAGTTATTCAACAGACGTTTGCTGCTTAAATACTAGCTCATTCAGACTCGGTGCGTAAGCAGCTTCCTTTAGTTCATCGAGCTCGCTACGGACGAGCGCGTCTCCCGCCTCCTGAAATTATTCTCCACTCCCATAAACACGTTCGCCTTCTCGCGTTTACGATTAAAAGCGGATAGGGAATCGAGCCGGGGCCGTATCCACGAAATTACCGTATACGGGCGCGGTTAGCTCGCCTTAAGAGCTTTTTTGATCCTCGAGACGATCGGGCATTAATCCACGGCCGACGCACCTGTCGAGAGGCGGCAGCGGGTAGGCGAGGGGGGGGAGGATAAGGTTGGAGAACGACCGGCTTAGGTCGTTCAATCAGACACGTGTACTTACGTATATACAGACGCGCATCCCGCACTCGTCTTCCTCCTGCGAACGGGCGAACTATCGACCCCACCGCGCCGAGATATGCGTGCCTACCGGTCACGAACGCGGCCGCTCTCCCGGCCTGGAGGCTGTTATTTGACTACCGGCGGGATCTCCGAATCGTCGACCCCCCATCTAATCATTCAAATCGCAGGCGTCCTGCCGTCCGTCTAATCGGCGGTGTGTACGCACGCCGCCGCTGCCACATCGCGTCCGGTATATCCTTCGTCCGGGGTGTCGAAGCGGACTTTCCCGCGTCCGAGCGAGCGCGGGAGAGCGAAAGAGAGATTCGAGCGAATCCGGCGATTCCACTGTGGCTACCATACCGCGCTGCTACCATCGCCGATAATGCCCGCCAGTAATGGCAGACCTCATGGCCCTGATTACCTTCGCGCCGGCAGAAGACACGCGGACGTAGCTTAGCCTCGGTTACGGCAGCTGGCCGTTGCCGTGCGTGCCACTTTCCTCGCCGTTCGATCGCTCACCCGCCGATCCATCCCGCTGTCATTCGCTCCCGCGGACGCAAACACCGCGTGCACTTTTGCCGATGCTGTCCGCGTTTAACGGAACGCAAATAATGAGTCTCGAATGATGCTGCTCGAATTAGAACTGACTTGCGGCTCAAGATATTGCACCTTCGAGGTAATTCGGGATCATCGATTTTCAACGATTAATTCATTGCGCTAAACTTTGGAGAACGGAGGTGACTATACAAAATCGACCGCATTAAATTTGACTTTAATTTGAGAAATCAGTAATTCTCGATACAATCGTGAAGAACAAGGGCAGTAAATGCCATAACAGTTCGATTAAATTCTCATCCTTATTTTCTATTCAGAAGGAAAAATGGAAAAAATTCACTTGTTGAATACAAAAATAAATAATTGATAAATGGCGGAATTTTTCTAATCTTTCGTATGAATCACGCCGATGTATCAAACAGCGAATTTAGATGACAAACAACGCAGCACGACAAGGCCAACAGGATTGGCATTGGTAGCAGACGCTGTTTTATTTACGAGTAGAATCCGCTGACTGCTCCGGGTTCGCTCCTCCTTGACCCTCTCCTCTCGTTCCCGCCGGGGTTAGAACGATCCTATCTCCGCGAGACGTAGCCGCGGATCATTCCTTTCGGGGTCTCCCGCGCTATAAAAGATCGCCCTATGGTTGTATATTACTCACGCCATCGTGTTTTCACTTGGCACAGCGATCGGCACCGATATCATAACTCCTTGTCGTACCGCCGTTCAACCAGCAAGTCTGCCCGCGCGACGAGGCTTCCTCTTGGTAGCGATAGCAATTCCGATATAACCGGCAGCCGTTGTAAGACGAGGACGAACATCACTGGCAGATAAAGCGAGATTCTCGTCAGTTAGTCTTGGGTCTTATCGCGCCTAAATGTGACGAATTTTCTGCGTTTCGCAGACCTGACGCGGTGATTTGAGATTTGCTATACTAGCTGCTAGCTGCATGACCGATCCTCAAATAATTAAAATTTTATATACTAATAATTATTTAGTTTTGCATTTTTTAATTGCATCGCATAGCCAAATATCCACTGAAAAGGTTTAAAGTTCAGTGTTTTATTTATATAATCTTTTAACAGAAACTCTTTATTAATCACTTATATAAGAAAATGTATATTGTGAGAAAAGAGAAAAATAATTATATATTTTAAAAATTGATCTGAACAATTATAGATTAATTATGCTGATATTTTCAACTTATGATTCATTTTGTCACCGATACGACAATGACGATCTCTTTAGGAAAGTTCATATTCTGCATTCTAAATGAATCATATCATAAATATGTCGCGACGTTTCCGTTAATAGAAGGTCGCCAAGGAAGTGACTGAGAATTCCACAATGTTAGCATCGTCGTTTCTCGCATAGAACCATAATCCGGGACGTTGCGACCATCCGTGGCATCCGAGACACCGAAATAGATGGTTTACAACCTCCCTTAAATACGTCAACGTTTATGTGTGGATTCCCGAAAGTAAATCGACGAGGAATGTTTTCATACGACGGCTCCGTCACGAGCCGAAGCCAACTTAAACGCCAAGTCAGAGAACCCCCCACTCGAGGCGAAATCACCGGTTATTATTAATAACGCGAAGAGCGTCTTTGTTTACGGTGTCACGAGCTTTTACACATGTGCAATTTTATGATACATCTACGTGGAAAGTCTTGTTCATTTTGGCTTGCAACATCTTTGAGCAGCATGCATTATTAAAACAATTGTGATCCCGGCATCCAAAAATTGACACATAAGCTGTCGAATAAAAAAAATCTAATTTTGTGAATTAAATATATAATGGATATTTCATCAAGTTTTCAAATTTTATTTTAATAACGTTTTTAAATATAACGGTAACGAAGCAGTTCCTTTTCTACTAAAAATTGCGAGTTTGCATGCACATCAGATGCATCCAATTTCAGCAATGCGAATAGTAACTGTTTCCAGTGATTTCAACCCTAGCGGGATGTGCCCTCCAGGTGGCAGAGCGAGGGTTAAGTAACGAGTGTCGTCCACACACACACACGTATTCCGCAGTGAGACGACGTGATTCCGCCCGAGCGGTCGAGTGGTCGCGCCTCGGGCGCAAGTCACCCCGCGATCGTTCGCCGCAGAGCGTGGCCCCGTAGTGACACCACAAAAAATCACGGCGCCGCTTTCCGGCCGGATATCTTTCAATTACCCGTTAATATGATAGGCGGCGGGCGTAGTTGCAAGTCACCGCCGCGTCGTTGCCCGCAGCGTGCGCACACACCACATACGCGCGCTGCCCGTAAATACACACGGTGGAATTCGTTACGCGTGTGCGTGTGATTAATCGACGTCAACCGCAGACTACGGCGCGAACCTCGCCGAGGGAATCGCCGGCGATCCGTTGACACGTCGATTCGCGGTTTACGCGCGCGCCGAAATATCCGCCGCGTGGCGCGAGACGAAATTTATGCGCGCCGTGCGCGCGCGAAGATCGCCGGGCGCGAATGTTTGCGTTACGCCGGACGGTGGTTAAACGCGGTTACAATATTACTGCAGCACGTTGTAGCCTAATCGCGTCCTGGTAGACAGCCAACTCCAGAGTTCTGCGCGGAGTGTTTTCTGATCGTGATATCAAAGGGCTGCGCGCAAAGCGAAAGCTACGCACATGATCTTGGCAGTCATGAGTGTCGACTTAATTTTATGGCGACCGTGTAATGGAGTTAAGTAAACTAACAGCTTTGGAAAGAGGGACTCGGACTAGTTTCAAACTTTTATTGTATCGGCCTAATCATTGAGAATGGAACGTAGTTTGTCAGAAAAATCGACGCATCTTAAAGCAATCCTTGTTTCAAAAAGTTTGCATATGTTAATAAAGAGATAAAAATTAATTGATAACAGTATTACAGTATTAAACCATCTATTTTGAAAAATTTGTGTCTTAAATATTAAAGATTATATAATATTTTGTAAAGCTAAATGTCCCGGAGCTAAAATTATTTTTTTATAAACAGTATACGAGAAAATTAATTACAATTTAATCATTTATAATATAATAAAAAAACCATTTTCAATTGCAGATAAATTGGTAACCCGTAATCGCGAGATGCTTGACTATTTACAAGTGGAAATTAACATTAATGTGTATTTTTACAGTTGAAAATATACTTTTGCAATTATAATACGAACGAGCGTATTCCGACGACACGAGGAATCCAATATCACCAGCGGCAATTTGCGGAGAGCACGCGGCGAAAGTATCTGACATTTCCCTTTCGCGCGTAAGTCCACCGGCTGTCCTTTTTCCCAAGACCGGGAAATGGAAAACGTCTTTACGGAGCTCGTCACCATCAGCGAACATCTGTCGCTCGTTATTCTCATTCGGAAGTTGGTAATTACGCCGGAATTCCAGGCATCGCAGAAAATAGATTGCCCATTGTCAAGTTTTACTTCCCTGCTCCGTTTGGTATAAATTTCCCGCGAATTGTTTCTCAATTAATAAATTTTTTAGAAACAAAAATATGTTAAAATTTTTTATTAATTTAATAGACATGTCTTTCATCTTGTTTCAAGCTATTACTCGAATCTAATCTTAAAAGCAAAAAATGCTAAACTTTGACATAATAAATCTTTCAGT